TGGCCACCCTAACTTCCCATTTGGCATAAGAAGGCATTAACTCGGACTAAACATACATGCATACATACATGCATACAAAGAAAATATTGGGTCTCAGATTGGTTCGAAGTCCAATCTGCGCTTAATAGAACAAGAAGTGCACTAAAGTAACTGCCGAACATCAGGTAGTGACTCCAAAAAAGTATTATAGCTAGACTTTTAATACTCGAAAACGCGCCTCCCGTGAAGAATAAACGGTTCGGATAGTGGGTTTTAGAACCTGAGCTGCATTTGACCTTGGCACGTATCGTGTTGCTGCCCTAATATTCTGTTGCGGAGATTCAGCGATTGCCGTACCTCTGAAACCTAGGGTAATGCAGTCACATTTCATGCGTTGTTGTCATTGCTTCTCCACCTAACTTATTCGAAGCGTTTTGTTGTTTTTGTTATGTTATGTTATTGACTTATACAGTCGAATGTTTGTACTCAGAAGTAAGGCGCTTGGGTAGCTAAGGCTTGGTTCTGTTGATTTCCAGCAACCCGCGTTTTTTACAGATTGAACTTTCCTTTCTGACCAAATGAATGCTAGGAAGAGAGATCATAGCTGTCCTGGCATTGTTTGTGAAGCATTCTTCAGCTCAACTGTGACTTCACATACGTATTGTATGATCCTCATTCCTGCATTTGTCGAATAGATAGCATTTAAGCTTCGTAAGCTTTAAGTATTGCTGGATGTGTATGCAGCTACGAGTTGTTGTTAGTTTGTAGCTGCATCCTCTTTACGGGTTCCTGTAAGTGACGCTTTGATAATTTTTGGTTGTTTAATTTATCTCTCTATCAATTTTTGTCTATACTTGCTCATTTGTTTGTCGAATATGTTTTGTGCATGTCGCTTTCCTGAGTGTTCATCGACTTACTGTTTTGTATATGGTCTGTTTCACAAATTTACCATTTTATTTTATGCTTATTGTTAAGTGGATATTTTGGTTCAACAGCCTCGTACCTATGTGGTGGATTCATTTATTATCGCTGGTGACAACAACAAACTCATTACAGGGATTATCATTTGCCCGTGCGGAAAAATGACTCCAAGTTCACCTTCAGAGACTGAACTTCCTGCTGATACAGTTTATATCCTGGCCAAATTGGGTCACAAGGTGTCGCACAACACTCGAGTTGAATGGTTTATCGGCAACGTTAACCGCCGCATTGTCTTTCCTGCTAGCGGTGTCTGCGCTCAGCTCCCTGATTGGCTAGCAGACTGCGCACCCGCTGCCTGGTCCAGTCTTTCCATTTTGGCTGCCTCACCCTCCCCTCCCCTCCCTTTTGTGTTTCCCATTACTTACTGCATCCATCCACATACCACAGTAAAGTACCTGGCTCACTCACATCGCATCACCTTCGTCCTCGATCTCAGTGACTCTATGCTGCAGCCCTGTTCTACCGGTTTCTCCGCTCTTCATCATGCAGTCTTTTGCCTTGAATCTGTTCTCTATAAATTAATACCTCCTTCCTCTGGTCTCTCGCTTCCTCTTCCTACTTCTTTGCTCACACATCTTTCTCTCTTTATTAGCATCATTGGTGTAGTGCCCAACCGACAGTCATTCACCCTTATTCACGACTGGGAAGCCTCTCTAGAGGGCATCAAATCAATCATAAGTGCTGTGAATAAGCGCCTTTTTCAGCTGGAGACTGCGGATCTTCTCGCTCAGTCTAATTCAAGTCCTTGCGCCTCCGCTCTTGTGGATATGTTACGGCATGGAGTACTAACTCTCGCTATGCAAATGCCGGATTGGGCCCCCGCCTCCTTGATAATAATTTCTGATGCCTGTTTTACCACACTGGATATGGCTGAGCTTGATCGCAGTTTAGCACACCTTCGAGCTGCGGCTGTCAGATGCTCATTTATCATCCCCTCTGCCATCGTTACTCCTTCCGCTGCTACTGATTTTGCCCCTACAAGAACACCAAGAAATCTCCTTCGGGCCATATCGTCGAACCCATGCATACCTCACGTGGACTTGTGCCAATTTATTGCTCATGCTACAGCTGGATTCTGCCTAACGAGCCTCTCTACAGATTGGCAATGTTTATCCAAACAAACTTCTTCCCAGTGGAACCAAATTCACGAGCTCTTATTGGCGTTGCAACTTCAAGACGATGTAGAGAGCACGTTGGAGAAAGAGGGTGATTTGGGCTGGGTGGCAATCAATGAAATTCAACCTTATTCACGCATCGTACGTGCAGCCCTCAACCATGTTCTCGCTTCTCGACTTAAAGATGGATATCGTCTTCGTTCAGTGTCGATACCTCCGGCTAAACAAGATTGTGATTCTCCCTCTCCTTCCTCCTGGATACAGATTGAATTGGCTCTCGCTTGGAAACCTGGAGTCTTATTTAGGCTCTTCCTAGCAGGGGAGTGGTTTCTTCCTACAGGGCAATTACCTGTTCTTAGTTCTAATCACTACCTTCTCCATGTTGCCAGTGCATCCGCAAGAACTGAGCCGATCGTTTCTGGACGCTATTGCATTGCCAATCTCCGTGTTCGTGCTAATTCTTCTCTTCTACGTGCATTCACTCAGCAGCGTCGTGATCAAGTATCAAGCCCATATTTGGCCTCAACTCTCAATCGGTTTGACTTTCATTTTCGCCTACTCAACCATGTCGATGACTACCTTGAAAATGTTTCTTCATTTAACCTTAATCCGGATATCTATTCTGTACCTGCGCGGTACAAGAACGGCCTTTGCTCGGTCTTCATCACAGCACAAGGAGCCAGTGGCGGATCCGAAATTTATCTTTCCGGCAACACAGCAGAAGAAATGGAGCATGATAAGTCACTTTCCAATTTCGTTTATTACTGGGGTCGCTTACTAACCCTGGACATTGCTAACTGTTATCGGTGGATGCACTCAGAAACTTTATATGTTGTTCTTGAACATGACTCCCCTCTTCCTACAAATCTATTCATCCCTGTTCCGACCCGACGTGTAACTGACCTACTCACATGCCGTCAATCGCTTGCAAGAATACACAGTATGCTTAGTGATTGGTGTACATTTGTGCTGTTGGAAAATCACACCTACATTCGGTTGGAGTATCCTAATCATGAGTCCCTTGAGGATCCCGATAGTCCAGAAGCTTCCGAGGCAACTCTCTCTCATATCTCTTCCCTCTGCGTGCCTTGCTACTTCACTCTTGTTCGATTGGAAATGAAGCTACCAGAGATCAGAGTTCGTGTCGCTTTCACTGCAGGTGTTCAATCAGATTATCGCCGTGCCACACTAGAACAACTCTCACGCCGTTTTCGAGTTCTCAGCTTTCTGCCTCGGGGGAGGCAGGCAGTACCGAAATCACGTCACAAATCCGGTGTTTTTGGTCCCCTTTATCCCTTTTCGCTAAACCATGCTGAAAACGTCCATGTACCACCACTTCAGCGAACTTGGGGGGAGACTCCCTGTTGCATGGTGTTTCTTTCCCAACTGGATCGTCTGATTGTTGAAACTGGTACCTGGATGAGTAATAGGGAGCAAAACTACTGCGCTACGACCATGCCATCTTCGGCGAATTCCCAGATATCTAAGTCCCTTCTAAAGGGCACTGTGGCAGAGGTGAGGTGTGAGGTGGCACCGGCGCTGTTACGCCAGCATCTCTGCACCTCGGGATGTATCTGGGTCTCTCCAGTGGTGTCAAAGTCACCAAACTGTGTAATGAAGATGTTTTCTACTTTAATGAATCTGCGAATTCAAGAAGGTTTTCACATTGTGCGTAGTGGACCTCAATCTGGTTTTGTCAGCATGGCTCGAGAAGTCATGTTCTCTGTTGATTCCGCGGCAGAGGGTGCTGTTAAACAGCCTTGTCTCATTCAGTATCAACTTTACCCGTTCCGAGTTAAAGCAGCGAGAAATGACCAATCAAGAGGGGTTAACGAAATGCGAGTAGCTTCAGAAGCAGTTCAACGAGTTTTAGACGCAACTCTGGTGAAAAAAGTACCTAGATCGTTTGTTAACCAACTGAAGGCTCTTACTTCCTCCCAACTTAGTTCAGAAATCCAGATAGCTACTGAGGTATGGATAGAACCGAAACATGGTCATGCAAGTGACTTACCAACCGAAGCTCTCTATCTTGCCAATCTACCGTACACTCAGGTGGTGGAGCGGATTCTTCAACTAGACTGTTTCTGTTTGGCAGCTTATAGCACTCTAGAGAAGATCCTCACGGCGTGTTTGCTTAGGATGATTGAACTGCAACGTCTAGCTCCACCACCAGTGTCACCTACATTGGATGGAAGTCAAACTGCCCTCACAGGATCTCCGCCTGCTGCTGTCTCTTCGAATTCGTTGTCCTCTACTGCTCCCGCCACAGTACTGCCCTTCAATCTAGCTAATATCACTGCTGTCAGTCCATGTGTGTGTCTTCTTTATCCTCTACTTTTGGACGCTTCTCTGGTTCAAGATACCAGTACAGTGTTAAATTATTTCGCGTCTGATAACGTTATCACCCATTTGATGTTCAATTTAACTCATCGAATTCCTTATATCACATCTATCCACCTCTCCTCCATCGTTTCGGATCAGTTTAGTCGTTTTCTGGTGTCTGAAGAGACTGAGGAGAATGCATCAAGGTTGAATCGAGCCCTGCTTGAATCTGGAGTGGTAGAATGGCAGTGTTTTGCAACTATTGTTGGTGTTACTGAACCATTGTCAAATGAAAACGTTGGTGAAAGTCGGAGTCTGAATTCATTACTGGGGGAGAACTTTGTTGAAGTCAGCAGCGGGGATATTGGCAACTCTCCAGTCACTTTCTTTATCCTTCCTGCTAACATGAAAGTTGCTATTTCGCCGTTTTGCCAGGACCTGATAAATAACTTAAGGCAGCAGCTGGGTGACCCAAACCGTCATGAACTGTCCTTCCCTATTTTCGTTTACTCTTGCACACACACCTATCTTTCCTTCCCCCTGGATGATCGATGGACCTACAGCCACCCTGAAACGCTAATTGTTGACTTCTTCGAACAGGATAAGAAGTCTTTGGATACTTCTCCACGAGCTTTGCGTTTTATCTGTCGCGAGCAATTGACTTTAAACCCACCAAACAGCTTTCTCACCGCAGCTAGAGGAAATCCTCGGCTTACCAAGGAGTTGGTCCTCCTTTGGACGCGTCTGCGTGATGCATCTTTGGGTTTGTTAGACCTCTGTGATGAGGCGTTCGTTGAATGTGCGCATCGGACTCTATTGCACGAAGCTGTGATCTCGGAAGCAGCAATAAGACGTGTTCTCACATCAGAACAGTTCTGTTCCTCCCTTCCTGCTATCAC